AAATTTGGCGCTGCAGCATCATCAAACAGAGGCTTCATCATCGCAGTGCCCCAAACTGGCTTCGCAGCACTGCGAGACGAACTATACGATTTTCTTTCTCATTTCTATGAAGGGTTGTGTCCCTTGAGGTTATTTCTCAGCTTTCCCTGGTATTTCTGGTAGGGTTAGAAATTGAGAATGGTGCACGTGAGAAGAGAAGCAATGAGAAAGCTAGAGAGAAGAGAGATTTGTACTTATTTCTCCCAATTTTCATGAAGGATTTCTTGGTGTGGTGCGGCTTCATGTTTTTTTTCCTATTTTGTGTTTTTTAACATTAAATCCCAGTGTCCTTTTTTTTTTTTGCTTCTTTACTTTCTTACTTTGTTTCCTTATTATTGTATTTACTCCTCATCCCCAACAACTGGTATCAGAGCAAGGTTCTTCTTATTGAGTTGGAGTAATGGTAGATGAAGCAAGGTACAAGATTGAAAAGTTCAATGGTTCAAACTTTGCATTATGGAGGATGCAAATTAAAGATTTGTTGTATCATAAGAAGTTGTATTTACCATTGGAAGGAATCAACAAGTAGCTAGATTCTATGACTATAGAGGAATGGGATGTTCTTAACCAGACTGCACTAGGTTGATACAACTTTCACTTTTCTCATTTATTGTATTCAACATTATAAATGAGAAGACTACAATCAATCTCATGGACACACTAACTAAGATGTATGAGAAGTCATCAACCTCAAATAAAGTGTTTTGATGAAGAAGTTATTCAATATGAAGATCTTGGATAACACCCCAATGACACTTGAATAACTTGCATATAATGAGGAGTCAATTATGTTCAGTTGACATCAATTTTGATGATGAGGTGAGGTCATTGTTATTCTTATCTTCATTGCCATAAAGTTAGGATGGGCTTGTTTACTGTTGTGAGTAACTCTTTAGGATGTTCAAAGATAAACTTTGAGGACATTACGATGTTAGTGCTTAATGAAGAGGTTTGCAATAGGAAGAAAGGTGAATCTTCAAATTTTGTACTAAATGTTGAAGCAAGAGGAAGGGGTTTAGAGAGAAATCCTAGCATAAAGAGATCTAAATCCATGAGAGGAAAGTCTATATCTGGAAGAGCAAAAGTTGTGTGCTGGAGCTGTGGGAAAAAAGGTCACTTGAAGAAGGGTTGTATGGTTCCAAAGAAAAGCAGTGGTGGATGTCAAAAAAAAAAAATCACTCTACAAATGTATATGCATAAGAGTTTTAATCATATTATCTAATTTTATCTTCGAATAATTATGAATATAGGGTGATAGATTAAGGTGCTTCTTTCATACTTGTCCTACAAGGAGGCATTCAAGAACTATACTCAAGGTGATTTGGGTGAAGTGTATCTCAGGGATAACAAGCCCTACAACATTGTTGTACTGGGAGATGTTGATATCAGAATGTCATATGAGTCAATTTGGAGACTGCTCCATTTACTTCTATAGAAGATCTTTATATTTTATCACATTTATTGATGATCAAAGTAGGAAGATATATGTGTACTTCATAAAATACAAGTCATATATGTTTAATGCTTTTAAGAAGTGGATCACCATGGTTGAGCTTGAGATATATTTTGAAGCTCAAGTGTCTCAGATTAGATAATGGTGGTAAGTATCGTGATAAAAAGTTCAAAGAGTATTATGCTTTGAATGGGATCGATCAGACATGAGTTCACTATTCTAAGAACACAATAGCATAATGGTGTTATAGAGCGCATGAATAGAACTATCACTGAATGTGCCAGGAGCATGAGGTTACATGCTAGTCTACCCAAGCAGTTAATGGGTAGAGGTAGTGAATATTGTAATTTATCTAATTAATTATGGTCTTTCAGTTCCTTTGAATGAGAGGTAATCTGAGGAAGCCTGCAGTGGAAAAGAGGTTAGCTTATCCCACCTTAATATTTTTGGTTATTCATCATATGTTCATGTTGATGCAGGATCTATGAATAAGCTTGATCCAAAATCTATCAAATATATATTTATTGGATATAACTCAGATGAATTTGGTTATAAATTCTAGGATTATCAGAATAAAAAATTCATCAGGAGTAGGGATGTTAAATTTAATGAAAAAAATGTACAATGATAGAAATGAGACTCATGAAGATTCTTTCAAATATGTTTAAATTGAGGATGATAATGATCAAGAAGACAAAGTCGATGAAGCACAAAAAGTACCTCAGACTCCTGCTACTAAAATTAGGAGATTTAGTAGATTCTCAAGGCCAGTACAAAGGTATTCTCTTTCCTTATACTATCTACAACTAAAATATAGTGGTGAACCATAGTGCTATGCAACCATTCAAGTTGATGATTCAAAGAAGTAGCCATGGATGATGAGATGCATTCACTTGAGTTGAATCAGATTAAGAGTTGTTAAAGCTACCAGATGGCAAGAAAGCACTGCAGAATAAGTGGGTATTCAGGCTGAAAGAAGAACCTGATGGTAGCAAGTGCTACAAGGCCAGTCTTGTAGTTAAAGATTTTCAATAGAAGGAAGGAGTTGACTTCACTAAAATGCTCTCTCCATTGGTGAAGATTCGAGTTATACTAAGCATGGTAGCATTGGATAATTTACATCCAAAGCATATGGATGTAAAGTCAACATTTCTTGATGGTGACCTTAATGAAGAGTTATACATGATGCATCCTCAAGGATATGTGGTCACATGTAATGAAGATCTGGTGTGTAGGATCAAGAGGAGCTTATACGGGCTGAAGTATGCACCAAGACAGTGGTACAAGAGATTTGATAGGTTTATGTCAGATAATGGGTATACAATGTCGGGCCGATCATTGTTATTTTTCAAACATTTTGATAACTGTTATATTATTTTACTTTTGTATGTACTTGTTAGTTGCAATTTTAGATATAGAGAAGAAAAGATGTCAGAAGAAACAATTATCAAAGGAGTTTGAAATAAAAGATCTAGGTCTAACAAAAAAAATTCTTGGTATGACCATCAATAGAGATAGAAGTGCTGGTATATTGAAGTTATCTCATGCAGAATGTGTTGAAAAAGTACTTCAGAGATTCAACATGAGTGAGACAAAGCAAGTTTATACTTCCTTGGGTAGTCACTTTCAATTATCCAATGAACAGTCACCTAAATCTGAAGAAAAGGAAGCAGAGGAAGAACATATGAAGAAAACTTCGTATGCTCAGCAGATGAAAGTTTGTTGTATGTTATGATCTATACAAGATTTGTATAACATATGTAGTGGGAGAAGTTAGCAGATTTATGAGTAACCCAAGCAAACTTTATTGAGAAGCAGTTAACTAGATTCTTAAGTACTTGAGAGGATCATATGATAAAGCTGTTTTCTTTGGTGGTGCAGGGATTGATTTATAGGGTTATGTAGATTCTTATTTTGCTTGAGATCTTGATGTTAGGAGAAGCACAATAGGTTATATCTTCACTTTGGGAAAGACTGCAATCAGTTGAGTTTCCAAGTTACAGAAGATTGTTGTGCTCTCAACCATAGAAGCAAAGTACATTGCTATTACTAAGGCTAGCAAGGAGATGATTTAATTGCAAAGTTTTTTTATAGAACTTGGCATAGGGAAAATGAATGGGAAGTTGCATAGTGACAATATGATTGCTATTCATCTAGCCAAGAATGCTGCATTACATGCCAAGACGGAGCACATCTAGCTTCAGTATCATTTCATTAAGTCACTTTTGGAAGATGGTAAGTTATTTTTGGAGAAGATTTACACGATCGAGACTCCTGCAGACATGTTGACGAAGATGGTGACAGTTGATAAGTTGAAGCTATGTGTAGCATTAGTTAGTCTTCGTGGAGGATAAGAACAAGGGTGAGCCACACTACAAGTACTATGATTGATGGTGAAAAATAGGAGAAGGATTGATTGTAATCAGTTTTCAAGTGGGAGATTATTATGTGTCAAATCTGATTGTGTTGAACAATAGGGTTGTTTTGTTGCCTCGGACCTTAAGTTTGCAGTGCTTGTTGGACAGTGTGGGGGATATATCCCCAAATATATATATATATATATATATTTTGTACAATGCCGACGCTACTTACTCGAGCACCCTAGGGCTATGTTCGAGAGTGCCCCAACGCTGATCGATAGAGAGCACAACGCTTTGGATTCGGCTCAACTGCCCTACAAGTTCTTCGCCACAGCGCTGTGAATTTGAGCGCCCATAACATCATCAAATAGAGGCTTATGCGCCACATCGAGAGAGAATGGTGCATGTGAGAAGAGAAGCAATGAGAGAGCGAGAAAGAAGAGAGATATGTACTTATTTCTCCCAATTTTCATAGGGGATTTCTTGGTCTGGTGCGGCTCCGTGGTTGTTCTCTATTTTGGGATTTTCCACATTAAAATCGGTTGTTCGCTATTTTTTCACTGATTTTATTTTCTTGCTTGTTACTTCATTGTAGTGTTTACTCCTCATCCCCAATAAAATTGACCTTGCTTCTAGCAATGCGCATCAACTTTGGTGGTAATAATGAGCATCAAAGTTGATTTTTAGTGATGACAAACATTGGGGTTTTATTGATGAAAGGGATCAAATATGTTGGCGACGATGGGCGTCGGCAATGGTGGTGAAGAAAGATATCGATGGTGAGAGTTAACTTTTTTTGGAGATGGTGGGTGTTAGGGTTCTTGATAACGGTAAACAACAATATTGGTGCCAACTACAAGCATCAACATTATTATTCATAACAAGCATCAACCTTCTTATTGATAAAAGGTGTAATGGTATTATTGAAGATGATGTGCATTAGGGATATTAATGATGCTAGCGTCTATAATGGAATTGTCTATGAAGAAAAAAATATATATTTGTCCACATTTTCTAAATAAATCTAATAATCTAAAAGTTATATTAAGACCATACATCTAATATAAAATTATGGACAAAATTCAAATTTACATCATCTCCAATTCCTTCAAACCAAATGGAACCTTAATAATGATGAAATGCAAGTATAAGAGAAAACCCACTGAAATAACTTGTTTATTCTACATAAACATTCTCCAACAAGGTACAAAATTATTAGAGGGAATATAGTACTACATCTCTTCCTCCTTTAGCTCTCACCAATATTTTCCCTTAATGGTCCTTCCCTACTAAACCTTCAAGGGATTGATACATATTCTTCTTTGAACGTGCTAGTGTATCCCAAGCCCCCTTCTACATCAAGTAGCTCTTTTCCCCAACTCTTCCACTCATAATAGATCACTGTATTGATCACCTGAACTAGAATAGTCATCATCACAAGCATAGCTACATAACAAAAACCAATCACTAACGCAACAAAAGTTTTTGAAGACGCATATAACATTGAGAAATTGTAAGCTGTGCTGATGATGCCGCTGCTCACTGCTATGACAAACATAATCAGTATCCCACTCTGCCTCCTTCCCTTTGTGAGCTCCACAGATCTCCCAAATGCAGCTATGCCATAGCATTCTTCTTCCACCACAGAGATCACTATGCTCAAAGAGCAAATCAACGCAAAATATAAGTAAAGGGGAATTGCAAGGATTGCTAGAAGAACAGCAACTGCAGTGTAACCAAAGGAGCCTATGGAAACCATAATGAAGGATATGACAATAACAAGTATAATGAATCCTACGGCTATGCTCACGATGGAGGCGCAGAGCTGTGTAAGCATAGGCCCTTTCCATGATTTTTTGATGAAAGAGAAGACCTCTTGAGGTGTTTGCTTCTTTTCAGAGTATGCCATGGAGATAACATGGATGATAGTCATTGTAATGAAAGAGGAGACTATGAAGGAAGACACAAGGAGGATGGATCCTATGGTGGTTATTTCTCTAACATCTTTTCTTATGGTGAAGAGTACGCTAGAGTACTCAGGACTCTTGGCATCAAAGATTGACAAGGAAACAAAGCTACTTGTCAATTCAGTAAGGATGGGGATGATGGATAGGTAGTTTAAGAGGAAAAATAGGGAGGAAAATAGGAGCTTGACGAGCATGATGGGAAGGAGGGATCTCACATTTTTTGTGAAGATGCTGAGTGCTTCCCATAAGATCTTGAATGTACTTGAGAGCTTGAATATTTTTGACATGGCCATGATATTTTCTTCTTTTTGTTCCTGCTTCTGGTTTTGCTTGAAGTTCTTTCAAGTTCAAGAAGGGAAGCTTTATATGGTGTGTGGGTTTATTATTTTCCTAGAAGGTGTTTGTTGGTTGGTTTAGAATGGCATGTGGGGATAGTATAAAGAAGAAAATATCAGACTCTGAATAATTGAAGCTTAGAAAAGTCTTCGAAGACTGGCTGTAAGCTTCATTGAAACTTCTTCCATCAGACATAAAATATTCATTGAATAAGGCTTCTATCAATTATTAATTGGGTTTAAATCATAATTTTATCATAAAATATTATAAAAAAACTAGTTTTAAGATATTAAATAAATGAATTAACACTTATGATTCAAGTTATAATACACATAAAATTTAATGGGATATTGACAGTAGAGTTATAAGTGAATAAATAATTTAATATTCATTTGATAAATCGAATCAAATCAATCAAATATTTTTAAATCGGTTCAACTTTTCGGGTTCAACCGACAAATAGAAATGTAATGAAAGAGGATTTGATAAAATTGTAATGAAGGAGGATCCAAATTCATTAAGGCCACACATTCATTTGAGCCTTGGATGGATAATGTGTGGAAGCCTTTTGTTCATTGGTTGTGGTGGTTGATGTATTGATGTGTCATCAATGAAAATAAAATGAGGATAAAAACAAAAAAAAAAGGTCCTTTAAAGAAGACAGGGTTTGGAATGTAATATAATTTTTTATTAGATCTGTTTTTGCAATTGTGTTTATTTATTTATTTATGTATTAATTTTTGTTGAATGTTTTGTCTATATATTAAATATTAAATTACAAAAACACAAACTGATGTGAAGAGGATTTTATTTGAATGTCTTGATAATAATTTTTAAAACTTTATCAACTAAGCTAATTATCATCTGCTATTACTATACTCCTTAAATAACTTTAGATAACAAATTAAATTGAGTACATTTTATAGAGAATGTTCAATAAAAATGAGAGAAAGGAAAATATATTTTTATTTAAGAAATGTGTACCTGAATAAAGTGGTTTAATTTATTTTATTGTTTATAAATCTCTATATTTCTCATGCCTTTTGTTCATTGGTTGTGGTGGTTGATGTATTGATGTGTCATCAATGAAAATGAAATGAGGATAAAAACAAAAAAAAAAAGGTCCTTTAAAGAAGACAAGGTTTGGAATGTAATATAATTTTTTATTAGATTTGTTTTTGCAATTGTGTTTATTTATTTATTTATGTATTAATTTTTGTTGAATGGTTTGTCTATATATTAAATATTAAATCACAAAAACACAAACTGATGTGAAGAGGATTTTATTTGAATGTCTTGATAATAATTTTTAAAACTTTATCAACTAAGCTAATTATCATCTGCTATTACTAAACTCCTTAAATAACTTTAGATTACATACAAATTAAATTGAGTTTATTACATATAGATTGTTCAATAAAAAATGAGAGAAAGTAAAATGTATTTTCATTTAAGAAATTTGTACCTGAATAAAAGTGGTTTAATCTATTTTATTTTTTATAAATCTCTATATTTCTCATTATTATTTATTATAACATTTACAATAGATATTTTTGGATCCAAATTTATTTGGAAAAGAAACCAAGATCGTTCTGTCAAGATTAGCTAATTCAATGAATGGAGAAATAGAAAGGGGGTGAATATGAAGAAAGAGCATTAAACTCTGTTTATGCTTAGCATAATGTAATATTTGGTTCAAAAGTCCCAAAAAATGCAAGCCAATGTTTTATTTATAGGACTGGAAAGGCTACAAGAGAGGCTACATCTGAAACATAATAAAATAATATAAAGTTGGCTATTATATACATTTGAATTATCTCAAATAGATGCATATGCCATATCTTCTCTAACATGGCTTTAGAATAATCTTGATGGTATCCTTGGTGAGTATCTTTGATAAATGCCTCTAACGAGTGCCTCTAACAAATGCCTCTAACGAGTGTCTTTGGTGAGTGCTCCAATGAGTGCCTTCATCGAGTATCTATGATGAGTGCCTTCGATGTGTGTCTTTGGCAAGTGCAGTAGGAGAATGGCTTGAGCGAGTGAATGGAGCTAGTACCCGAAGCGAGTTATTTAAGCTTAAGATTATCATTATTTATGAGGTCATTATTGTGGGGTTGATAAGTATACATATTTTATAGTTTGTATTTGGGGACCATTGAGAAAGATAAGTTGCTCTGCTTGGTCAAGTTTCATTTAGAGTGATTTATGTTAAGGTGACTTCCTTCTTGGGTTAAGGTCATTAGATGCACGTTTCTCTCTCATTCAAATATGTCTAGGGAGTGTGCTTCTAAATTTTGGCTTTTCTTGGGCAAGCTTCACTATGAAAAGTGCATAGCCATGTTGAGTCCTACTAGGATAGGTCATCCTCTAAGCAAGGCATGTCTTAGACTAGTGCACCTCTTAGCTGAACTCCTATAAGGCAGACTCAACTGGTCCCTGTGAGTTGCACATACATATATATTGAGGTATACAATTTTTTTTTTATTCTCATTTGAGTTTTAGAGAGCGACTTGCAAAAAAGATAACAGAATTAGATAACAAAGCATGTAATATTTTTGAAAGTGATGATTTGTAAAAACTAAGAATATCATTAAGAGAGACATTATTGCTTTTCTAATTCATGAAATTCCCCTTTCCCAAATAAAGGGGCAATTGGGTTAATATAAAGTAGGTTACATTATTAACTATATATTGTCTTTCCTTGGGGCCTTACTAGGGGTGTCAATTTCGGGTCACGGGTCGGGTTCAGGTCGAACTTGAAATTGACCTGACACTATTTAGGTCAACCCGAACCTGACCCGCTTTGGATTCAGGTCAACCCGACACTATCCGAATGACCCAAAACTGTAAAACAATTGCTAGTTTTTGGGTCAATAAAATGTCAAACTCCACTTTTCGGATCAAAACAGGTTAAAAACGGGTCAATCTTAACTTTTTGAGTCAAAAATGGGTTTTCAGGTCAAAACGGTTTAATTTCGGGTCACTTTCATGTCAAAAGGGTTAACCCAAACCCGACCCAATTTTAAAACGGATCGAATTGTTGAACCTAAACCCGACCTGTTTCAGGTCCGAGTTGACCCTAACCCAAAATTTTTGGGTCGGGTTAGAGTCCGGTTATCGGGTCGTGTCAAACATTGACACCCCTAGGCCTTACCTCTCCTATAGATCTTTTTCCTATGGCCTAAGCTCTCCTATAAGAAGTAGTCTCATGATTTTCTTGGCCTTGAGTCGAGAAAATTGAGATCATTGGAATCAATTTAGTTCACCTTTAATATGTTATGGTGCATCCTCTTGGGCATTAATACCTGCACTTGCTTGAGTTTGAAATATTTAACTCTGAATTTTTGTAACTCTTATGACTTATTTTTTGCTTTTCACTTGTAGGCTTGCCACACCAGGTGAGTTTCTTGAGCATTAGATGTGAAAATTTTAAACATTTATAAGTAATGGTTAGCATGACCTATGTAATGACATACATTTGATAATTCTTATGGATGTGGCATTATTTCACAATGTGTTGATCGCTTTCTCTTTGGATGGCTAACCCTAGTTGGAGATAGAGAATGTCTATAAAAAACCAAGACTTTAATCTCTTTTGTAAGTATGTAGTATATCATAGATTTTCACTATGATAAATGAGTGAATTGTAAATATATATTCTATTTTTTTGAATATTTTTCACTCATCATCTTTGAAAGAAGACATATATGCACGCACACGCGCACACAAATACACATATGTACTCTTTTATCAAATGTACTTTGAGTCCCATTCTTGTGTATATTTGGTAGTGGAAGATTGTTATAGAAGCATGTCATATACTTATTCTTCAAGTGGGATTCTTGCTCTCGTTTAAATGAAAGTAGCAACTGTGGGTCTCCAAAATAATGATGCTAGCTGAGGTTAGATTGTAAAGAGTACAATCGCACTATCATGTTGGACAAAATAGTCGTAGGCCTTTACACTCTATGCAAGTAGGCAAATGCAAGAGCAGGTAGAATCATATATATGATTATCCGTGAAGAATAGTAGCTTTCGCCTGCACATATCGATGTATAATAATATATATGACTCAATAATAGCAAGATTTTCCCATTCAATAAATCAACTCGAGTGAGGTTTATTTGATGTGGGTATCAATTTCCACAAGCGCAAACCCTCATGGTTAATTACATCTTATGCCTTGGCCTAAGAATACTCTAAATTAAGGATGTTATTTTATTCTCTTCTTACTTTTGTGCATAATGAGATTCTTGGGTTCTAATCTAAAGGGAATACACTTTTCTCTTCATCTTTAGTGGGGATTAATCTTTTTTTAAAATGTATGAAGATTTTATTAAAAATTTAAGTTTAAAAGATTAAATATTGATATATTATCGTGGGAGAAATTATATATTTAAAATTTGTCAGAAGTTAGAAAAGATACACTGAGAGATGAACAATTTGGGCTTATGCTTGCTTAGAATGAGCTGCTAGTTAAAATCATAAATACAATCAATCACCTTATGAATACAAGATATAATGACTCTAATCCTAGGGAGTCAAGGATATTTAATTAAAGAGACTTTAAACGAGACTCTTAAATATGCAAATTTATATAAATAACGTTATATATGATGCATGAAATAAATGAATAAATAAAATCTTTTATTCATTTATTTGAAACAGAAATACAATCCAGAGTATGTTGAAAAGTAAGGTGACTAAGCTCCACCACAATATGGTTGAATTTTTATACCTGTGAAATATATATTTAAATATACTTGTTTATCATCCTCTAGATTCTTTTATAGGATTCCAAAAGAGAACACCCCCTAAGGTAGAGTGGATTACCTTTTGAAGCCCTATATGTATAAGCAAATATCTTTAAAAATTTACAACTTGATGAATATATGCAACTTGATCTAGCTACATTTTTGACACTTTGCTTTTTTTTATTTTTACAAGAAGGTCTAGATACATTCTATTTTGCTCTTCTTTTTACAATAAAATTAAAGACAACATGAATGCATATGCATGTATGAATACAGTGTATGTATGCAGTTTAATAAACTAATGCACACCAATAGAAACATAATTATGCATGTCATGACATCCAGAGTACTAAAAGTAAACAAACACACCAATGATATCCTCCAAGCAAAGGTATCCCATCACAACAAACATACTACGGCCTAGCCTAAGAATTGAGTAAGTGATCTTAGCAAACAAGTTCTAGTGTGTGAAAAAGATTGTGTGGCATTGATATGTCCTATAAGGTTTGGTATTTAAGTCATTTAGATTTGAAATTATTTTTTGGTTATAGTCCAAAAAAGATTTTGATTTAAGTTTACGTTTTAATATTTTAAAACTTTATTAATTAAATTTTAGAGGATTTTATTTATATTTCATGTTTTAAAGAACCATATTAATTAGTGGCTTCAAAGTGCAAAAGCCACTAACCCAAGTCCTAGAGCTCATTATAATGCTACCATTCTCCCATAAAGGATGGGATTGATTGTATAGAAGCATTGCATTTTAATTAGGTGTTTTAGTCCTTAAGATTTTTCAATCCAACACACATTTGTCTTCCTAAATGGAGTCAAGCACAATTGTTTAAAGCTCTAATTTTCAAGTATTTAATTACTACTTTTGAAACTACTACTTTGAAGTGTTTAGGAGAGAATGATCACATATTGCATTATAGGCTATACGACCATTGATTATGGCGGAGTTAGCCATTACCCTATACTAATTTGTTTCATTGCTCCTATGTGACTAGAGTATAATAATTCCCTTAGTTTCCCTATATTCATGAGAAAAACTAGAAAGAGTCCTAATAGTGGGCATCACAATTTTGAAAATGATATTCATAGGACTTTTTGTCCATGCTACTAATTTGATAAATGATAATCAAGGCAGTTAGGACAATACTATCTTTATGGGGTTTTCTATTCACCACATATATGCATGAGTGAAAGTAATTATGAGAGCTATAATATGAGCTTTGGATGTTATAGTTGAATTCATTTATCCTAACCAAAGTAATATGAAGCTTGTCTAACTTGAAGTTTGTACTTTTGTTCCTTCTTAAATTGTTCAAACCAATATAGTGATATGAATTACATGAATAAAAAATGGCTTCTTTTTCTACTCCTTTGTAGGTGTTAGATAGACTTTTCTTCTAGGCTTACCCACAATGAATTCTTGTAACATCTTAGTCTAAATTAACTTTGTAATTAAATTCTAAAGGTTTCAGCAATCCTTTGCATTATGTCCTTGATCTTTATTAAATATATAATCTTAGAGGGATATCTAGCTTAAGCAAGGACTCTCATTTATGTTTTTTGATGAAAATAATCTTTTTTTTATATAAAACTTCAGTAATTTCTTCCATTGATACTCTAATAAAAGTAAGTGTTGTTGTATATTGTCGAGGTAAAGAAACCTTTCCCCTTTTATTTTATTAAAATATTTCACATTTAGGCTTCGTTTGGGACGGCTTTTTTTCTGCTTTCTAAAACGGAGTTTTAGTACAAAATTTTTTATTTTTGTACTAAAACTCCGTTTTAGAAAGCAATAAAAAAGTCGTCCCAAACGAAGCCTTAGTTAATGCTTCTTAGCGTGATAAGTGCTATAGTTGTTGGTTATGATGTTGATTATGTGCATATTGATAATGCCTCTCAGGGCTATATCTCAACAATCTCTATAAGAAATGCATTTTTCATCTGATGATCTTACAGGATATTAGATCCAAATTTTTATTAATTAAAATTTAGAAGATTTTATTTATATTTTATGTTTTAAAGAACCATATTAATTAGTGGCTTCAAAGTGCAAAAGCCTCTAACCCAAGTCCTATAACTCATTATAATGCTACCATTCCCCCATAAATGTAGGATTGATTGTATACAAGCATTGCATTTTAATTAGGTGTTTTAGTACTTAAGAGCTTTCAATCCAATACGCATTTACCTTCCTAAAAGGAGTCAAGCACAATTATATAAATATCTAATTTCCAAGTATTTTATTACTACTTTTGAAACTACTACTTTGTAGGTGTTTAGGAGAGAATGATCAGATATTGCTATAGTCTATACGACCATAGATTATGACAGAGTTAGCCATTACCCTTTACTAATTTGTTTCATTGCTCCTATGTGATTGGTAGTATAATAATTCCCTTAGTTTCCCTATATTCATGAGAAAAACTAGAAAGAGTCCTAATAATGGGCATCACAATTTTGAAAATGATATTCATAGGACTTTTTGTGCATGCTACTAATTTGATAAATGATAATCAAGGCAGTTAGGGCAATACTATCTTTATGGGGTTTTCTACTCACTACATATATGCATGAGTGAAAGTAATTATGAGAGCTATAATATGAGCTTTGGATGTTATATTTGAATTCATTTCTCCTAACCAAAGTAATATGAGGCTTGCCTAACTTGAAGCTTCTACTTTTGTTCCTTCTTAAATTGTTCATTTCTCCTAACCAATATAGTGATATGAATTACATGAATAAAAAATGGCTTCTTTTTCTGCTCCTTTATAGGTGTTAGATAGACTTTTTCTTCTAGGCTTACCCACTATGAATTCTTGTAACATCTTAGTCTAAGTTAACTTTGTAATTAAATTCTAAAGGTTTCAGCAATCCTTTGCATTATGTCCTTGATCATTATAAAATATATAATCTTAGAGGGATATCTAGCTTAAGCAATGACTCTCATTGATGTTTTTGATGAAAATAATCTTTTTTTATATAAAACTTCAATAATTTCTTCCATTAATACTCTAATAAAAGTAAATGCGGTTGTATATTGTCGAGGTAAAGAAACCTTTCCCCTTTTATTTTATTAAAATATTTCACATTTAGTTTATGCTTGTTAGCGTGATAAGTGCTATAGTTGTTGGTTATGATGTTGATTATGCGCATATTGATAATGCTTCTCAGGGCTATATATCAACAATCTCTCTAAGAAATGCATTTTTCATCTGATGTTGTTTTCAACTGTCATCACATCTTAGAGGATATTAGATCCAAATTTATTCCTAAATGACATTAGTATTATACTAACAAGAACAGATAGAAAATAATAAAAAAAATAAGAATAGACAAAAAGAAGTATGCAATTTCACTAGATTATATGCCAATGATTCATGTGCCAAGCTCACCATCTACCCCTATTTACAAGTAAAATTATGTAGCTTTGTGATTTTGGTCAGTAACATTGATAATTTTGACTTACTCTTTGTGCTGAGTACATGCAAGTTTGATTACTTCTGATGATTTGAACCACAACAAATTTGGTATATTCTATAACGAATTTCATTTGATTATTAATTGTATCTTTGATAATGGCTGATTTTAGGAGTTTCACCCAAAATTTAAAGAGCAAAAGGTGAAGTTCTAGCAAGATATAAGATGGATTTTTAACCAGAAGCAAATAAATTTTAAGCACAAGTTCACTAGAACTCACAAGTATCCTTCAATATTTAATACAATGCAATTATCATACAAAAGCATTATATATTATTTAAACACTCATTTATCTAAATTTATAGTTAAACCCGAGCCTTGGAACAATCAAAATTAGAGCGAGGCTTCATTTGAGGAGGTTTTCTTATTACTTTTTAAAGCAATTTTCTCGTACAAAAGTTCAAATTTTTATACTAAAAAATTGCTTTAAGAAGCAAGAAAAAAATCATCCTAAATGAAACTTGAATATGAGACTCATATGAGTTACCAATCCTAGTTAAATATTTTGTAATTAGATATTAAAAATTATTAAAAAAAACTTGTAATAATTAGAAAATAATTATTTTTTTAAATTAAGTATTTATATTAATTAAGAGTGAAATATAATAAAATGCATAAATTAGCTTAGATATTAAATAAATTGAATGAATGGAGGCAAATACACCAAGCATAGTTTGGAGGATTCCTAAAACCAATCCCAATAAAGGACAGCAACAGTTCCCCAAGGAGAGCACATGAAAATTTTGAAAAAAAATGTCTATCAAATTTTCATCCAAATGTGCTTAAAAATTTGACACGGTACACTTACATGAGATAGATAAAAAGTACATAAAACTTTAATTTTTTTTTAAAAATCAACATAATAAAAATAGATGCTATGAAATATATGAAAAAATAATAAAATATTAAAACATTTCTATACAATCTGCAAAATACATAGCTTATGAATACATGAAAATTTAAAGCCAAAATTTGCGGATCTCTTACTTTACATTTCACTTTTTTGATTAAAATCAACCCCAACAGCTTCTTGAGAGCTCTTTTGCACAGTGAACATGAGACTGCATCAACATGTCTTTTCATGGAAAGATTACACAAGAAAAAAAAAAAGAAAAAAAAATCTAAAGTTTGAACTACTCAAAAAAAAAAAAAAAAAAAAAATCTTAAGTTACAAGGGAAGAATCAGTATGAATCATCTGTTCGGGTTACATTTTGATTTGAATAAATGAATCTCTAAAACAAGATACAGAAACAAGAGAGATTATTCTGTGTGGACACTGGACGGAAAGATCCGTTCAGTTTTGTCTCTGTCAACAATAAAAACGCAGTATGAACAATGAAAGCGCAGTGTGCGCTTTCACTGTTCACAGAAACAAACTGAACGGTTCTCCCTGTCCGGTATCCGCACAGCACAGAATAATTCATCCAGAAACCGAGGTAGAAACAATGAATGCTCACCTGCTTATCTTCTTGACAAGCTTCACCCTCTCAAAATCAGGAACAACATAGCCCTTCTCTACCTCCCATGCAAGGTGAAACATAGAATTTAAAGAAGATTTCACGCCTTTTTCATCCGAAACTTCTCTTGGAAAAGGAACCCGGGCAGTAAAAGTTCCTTCCAAAGAATATAGGTACAGATCAAAACCTAACCGGTCAAGCCATATCAGCTTAGCATCAGTTACCTGCATGATAATGCACAAGAACATGCACAGGTAGATGTCATGATCTTTACCAAATATGCCAAAGAATTGATAAGTTTTTATGTTTCTGTCTTGCTGCAATGTTTCATTTTTAACAAAAAATAATAATTTGAATAATGAAACAAATGGAGAAGTTACCCATTTAGTGTTGCTCATTTAGCGTCTGCAAGAGAACAATTTTCATTGCATAATTCTTTGTGAAAGTGATAATTATAATGTAGCAGCATTTCTAAAAGAAAAACTGATCAAAAACAAAGCCATAGTTGGAGAGGGCATTTCCAGTAGATAAGCAACGTAAGATATTTAAGTCTATTGAAGATGATAACTAGGCATAATCAGTAACCGACGGTAGAACGTTTCCCGACCAGAGATTTAGAAGATTCTCCCAAGCCAAATTGGAGAGGGGATTCCGCTAGGGAGGGGAGGCTGCTGACCCTTGGGAGGCCATAACTGGCAAACCCAATAGACCACAAAAGACTGCACAGTGAAAATGTAAAGAGGCACTACAAAGCCAATAAGATCAGAAGACTGTCTTAACTCTAAAAGTAATCAACGCTATCAAGCAGTCGGATGCTTGCCAAAGCTTTGAACATATATGAACTAAATTGAGTTTGATCCCTTTAATTTGTAGGCAAAATCGGAGATGAACTAAATTGAGTTTGATCCCTTTAATTTGTAGGCAAAATCTGAGATGCATGATTCAAGGGTCTAACTAAATTCATTTATCAAATCATCCGCCAAGTAGCTCCCTCAATAGGTCTTGCTCTCAAAATTTTGATATTTAGCCAAAACTAAGATTAAGACTAAATTTGGTATTAACGTGATACAGAACTGGATAAGCGTTGGCTAATGCAGCATCAATAAGTTCCACAACTTACCCAAATTATGATAATAAGTAGCTAAATTTTGACTAACACGTCACACAACTGATAATTACAACGTAGCCAAATTGTAGTGAAAAGTATGCAAGAGTTGATTAGATCCAAAAATAAGATAGTTTTTTATGAGGACATCGGAGATACTATGATCTTGAGTTATTTATTTATATGTTCTCTGTACTAGTTTATTTTATATTGTTGTTTTCCCTTTATACCCATACGGGTGGTCATGTAATGTTGTAGCCCGAAGGACATTTTAGTCTTTTATTTCTTTTCTTTTCATGAGGTCTATTTATAGGCTAATTGTTTTGTATTTTGAGATGATGATTTGATAATGAAATCTTATGTGTTTTTCTTCTTCTTCTTCTTGTGAGTGCACTAGAGAGAAAGGAGAGAGAGTTCAAGGTGAGCAAGCGCAATACCCACCAGTCGTTGGAAGAGCCCGCGACTCGTGATTTTAATTTATCTTCTTCTTCTCCTCCGTTTCCTCCACCCCACCCGCCGACTTCTCCTAGCCTTCACCACCGGCCATCTTCCCCATCCAACTCACCCCACAACTCCACCACCTCAAGCCCGCTCGCTACCATAGCTTCATCCAACCAACACCTAGCCGCCTCCCTCCTCTTCATGTCGCCGGCCTCCCCTCTTGCCCCATTCTATTATGATGATTCCAATTTTCATAATTCTCCTCCTAAATTAACTCCAAGAGGAAAAAAAAGAAATTAATTTTATTTGAAATTTGAAATTTGAATTTCAAATTTCAAATACTTTCCTTATTAAATCACCCCACAACTCCACCACCTCAAGTCTGCCCGCTACCATAGCTTCATCCAACCAACACCTAGCCGCCTCCCTCTTCATGTCGCCGGCCTCCCCTCTTGCCCCATTCTATTATGATGATTCCAATTTTCATAATTCTTCTCCTAAATTAACTCCAAGAGGAAAAAAAAGAAATTAATTTTATTTGAAATTTGAAATTTGAATTTCAAATTTCAAATACTTTCCTTATTAAATCACCCCACAACTCCACCACCTCAAGCCTGCCCGCTACCATAGCTTCATCCAACCCAACACCTAGCCGCCTCCCTCCTCTTCATGCCGCCGGCCTCCCCTCTTGCCCCATTCCATTATGATGATTCCAATTTTCATAATTCCCCTCCTAAATTAACTCCAAGAGGAAAGGAAAGAAATTAATTTTATTTGAAATTTGAATTTCAAATTTCAAATACTTTCCTTATTTGCAAATCCTAATTAGGAAAGTGTATAAAATCAATCCTATTTGAAATTCAAATTAGATTGAATTTCTTAATGTCTTTCCTAATTCCCATGAGTTATTTTAGAAACCCTTAAATTCCTCCCCACAATGAAATCAAAAATTCAAATTTAATCCCCTCCAAATCCCTCATGAATTTTGAATTTCAAAATTCAAATCCCCCCTTAATTACTTTCCTAAAATATCTTTCTATTAATATGAAAACTTCTTGATTTGAATTCAAACTTATTTGAATTTCAAATTAATTCCATATTAATGAATCCTATTTTTGGAAACCCATTCAATCTCTAAAATCTGAGATTAATTCAGATTTAATCATATAATTAAATTGATTGCATGGGGACCACATACATCGAACCTAGACGTTTTCCCCTCCTTTCCCTATGGACGGCCTGCCCTCTCCCCTATCTCTCTCCACAAAACTAATTAAATCACATTAATTCCCTCCCTTAAACCTTCCAAACAATCCGTAATTCCCTCTCAACCCAAGCAGCCGGCCCTCACAGATTCTCCCTCTCGGTTTCTTCTATTCTTTGGTATTACTGAGTGCTGTCCCAGAATTTCAGAGAAGACTGTGGGCTCCGAAAATTCGGCCTCGGCCTCCGCTCGCTCTTCTTTATTCGGCGAGGGAGTTTTAACGAACTAAGTTCCGAGGTAAATTTTGGAAGGCAGATGGGTTTGTAGATAAGACACTACCCAGAGATTTCGCCCTCATTTTGTGAGGACTTTATGTGGAACGGCCCCATTTGCTGTCCAGAATTTCTGGATATTGACAGATTGCTGTCCCAGGAATTCTAGTAAGAAGAACTGCTGTAAACCCTCCGGGAATCCCCTAACTGTTGTCCCAAAGTCCGAACTCCAATAAACACGGATGGTTGCTAAGCCTTGATGACAGTGAGCTAATCCTCTAAATCATTTACCTTCCTAGTCGCCTTTGGTTGTGGTTGTAATTTGATTCACTAGGACCGTGTTAATTCTCTCCGCTAAAGTCTAGTATATTAGAGAGTTGAGTGAGGGATATCTCTTAGTGACTAATCTTATTGTTAGTTTAGAGATTGTCGTTGAAAATCAACCACGAACGCAATGTTAGATTAATTGATTGTTTTACTATCTTAACTCCTATGCATGCGATTTAACCTAAGCTGGTTTTATCGTCTTATTGTTTTATCTTAGCGTTAAAATCGGCATAAGTTTTATTTAATCTTATTCTTGAAATATTAAGCATGCAAATTTCTTTAAACAACTCATCTTCACACGTTTGTACTACATCAGTTTTGCTACATATTGTTTGGGGGGTTTGATTGCAAGTGCAAGAGAATGTGCGAACACAATGGTTAGAAGAACAAATATAGCATCTTCAAGATATGATATGCAAATGGATAAATTCCAAAGATATTAGTAGGGGTTTAAAAACAGAACCGAACCAGTTTAGCTTCAAAACCGGTTTTATATCAAGCTGGGATGAACTGGCGAGAACCGGCAGTTCAACCGACAAACTAGTCTCGATTCCCTTGAACCAACCGAATCAATTTCTAAAATACTTAAATAATTAAATAAATTAATTTAATACATTAAGAATATAATATTTATAATTTAACTTATAAAAATATTTATTTATTTATATATTTAATATAAATGATCTAATTTTAATAATTTATAATTGTAAATTTATAATATGAATTTAAAATAATTTATAGGTATAAATTATATCTAAATATATAACATAAATTAATAATAATTATCTTAAATTTATAAATTTATATGTAAGCTAAATTTTTGTTGATTTGAATTAAATTTAAAAATTGAATGGGTTTAAATTTAAATTTACATAAGATATTATTAATATGAGAATTTAATTTTTAAATCAAAAATTTAAATTATTACATGATTATTCTATCATTTAAATTTTATTTAAATAATTTTCATATTTATTATGTCATCCGATTCAACCCCGATCGAACTATAAACATTTTTTTCTTTCGGTTCTATTTCAGTTCGATTTTCACAACCTTGGATATTATAGAATGTTATAAACTAATATACGTTAGGAAGCCCAATAATAAAAACATTGTTGGATTAATAGTAGATAGGAAGTTAAAAAATAAAATTATTGAAGTGATAATAGTAGTAATATCCTGATTACTCTTAAGTTCATTATTGACAGAGATAATATAATCATTGTTAATATTTATCCAGCTCAATTGGGTTTAAAAATAATTAAAAATATAAACTTTTGAGAGAATGTAATGAAATAACAAAATAAATATAAGAGAACAATTATTAATTCTTAGTTGAAGGCATTTGTATGATCTTGTAAGAGTTATCAGACGATTCATGGTTGGAATGAAATAAGAGATAAAAATATAATGGGAGAAGTTATTTATTTCATAGCAACATATAATCATGCAATAGCAAGCACTAGTGTAAGAAATGGGAGACACTTACAAAAGCGGGGTTACGAATCATAGATGTACCATTTTTCACTTAGAACTAATTTTTTTTTTTTCAGGATTGTAAAGTGATTTGAATACAGAGTTTAACTACACAATATTGGATATTAACTACAATAAATATATTAGAAATACAAATAAATAAATCAACATAAGCATTTGTCATGTGACAAGATGGTACAATTTAAAAGATGAGAAGCTATATAGCACAGATACTCCTATTTACGAGGCATGCTGTATCAGACACGTGTCGGATACGGATACGCGTCCGATACAGCACAGATATGTGTCAGATACGGCACAAATATGTGTCGGATACGGCTTTGCCGTGTCCAATTAAAGTATTATTTAAATTTGACCAGACACACGTATCGGATACGCGTGTCCTTTTTTTCATTTTCTTCATCGTAGGCTCGGTACCGGAACTCGGTACTGCTTGGTATCGCTCGGTACAGCTTGGTACTCGATACTGGAACTCGGTACCGCTCGATACCGGAACTCGATACCGCTCGGTACTGGAACTCTGTACCACGCAATACTCGATATCGCTCGATACTCATGTTGAACCCCGCCAGGGGGCAGCACCTCCTTGTACCCCCGTCACATCTGCGACATATCTACAATTTTACTTAAATTTTTCATGTTTCAAATTCATGTGATTTTAATTGTGTCGATCCTTCGTAAGATAATGAAACTTCATGTGTAGAATAAACACTGAAGAAGCTAATCCTATCATTCCTTCTGTTGAATAGTTGAAACTTCATGTGCTGAACAATTTATGTTTTTTTTTTTTTTTGTATTAGACATTTAAATTTTTAATGTTAACTTTTATTTTGATATTATGAGATACAATCCTACAAATGTTGCTTTCTTTTTTTTTGTCATTTCAAATATTACGCTTTGATCACTTTCTTAATTTTTATGTATGATTTTTATATTATAATGTCGTATCCGTGTCGTATCCGTATCCTATATTTTTAAGAATTGACGTATCATGTATCTGTATCGGTGCAACATAGGTGAGAAGTCATAGATTGACTAGTTTCAATGTAAAATTTGTAGAAATAGATCAAAAAGAGAATAGAGATAGATCGTAAATTAGTAAGAAAACTTTGTAAAGAAAAGAGGTGATATAAAGTACTAATGAAGGAAAAAAAAGTACTTCTACAGCATGGGAAATATAAAGACACTTGAAACTTGTCAATTTGTAAGGAAGCTACAAGTTCCGTAAGGAAGCAAGGTAGGTAAAGCTACAACTCGTTGTGATAAGAAAAGGGAAAAATAAATATATAAAAAAAGGCCAAGGTATAAGAAAAGAGATGAAGAAACTTATAGAGAAACATATATTAAGAGTAAAGATATGTTCTTAGTAATAGATGAAATCATAGATGAAATATTGGAAGTTTTATTTTGACAAATTTAAAAAAAAAAAAAAAAGAAGAAGAAGAAATAAGGAAGAAACCTTTTAGGGAGAGCAAAAGGAACAAAATCATGAAGTTTATTAAAAATTAATTCAAAAATTGATTGTTCAGGAAACTTCAAAGAAGATGAATAAATATAAAGTTATACACCCAAATGAGATAATATTGAGATTTGAAGAGTTATAGGAGATGTTAGAATAGATTGGCTAAAAAATCATTTTAATAAAATCTTATTGACTAAGATGTCAAATGATTGACAACGTTGCACCTTAATACCACTATTTGACAACAAAAGACTATATAGAACTATTATGATAAGAGAATCAAACTAATGCACCATTCACTGAATTTATGTGAGAGGGTATTAGAACCTAAGCTTAATAAATCCTGCTAATGTGAAAGAATTAATTTAATTTTATGCAAAAACAAATAAAACAAAAGGGATTATTGAGATGATTTATGTAAATATGACAATTATTGTCTAAGTAGTACGATCAATGAAAGGATATTAATATTATTTTTATAGAATTTGAAAAGAAATGATCGAGAACTATTTAGAATTATTTAGGAGGACGTTTGAGGAGAAAAGATGTGTGTCAAAATAATATTGAAATTATCAAAGAGATGTGAAATGAAACATTGATTATTATTAAAAATAGTTCTAGAGTTATAAAAGAGCTTTCAATCACTGTGAGATTATATTAAAATCAGCATTGAATCAACATAATTTTTATTAGTTATAAGTATCTTAAAAAATGTATTGAAGTTAGATGACATAGGTTTATATCATTTATAATGATATAGTGTTGATAGGTGAGCAAATTTCTTAAATAATTGAAAGACTTAGAACAATGGAAGAAACCCTTAGAAATTATTTGATTGGGGCTTATAAACTAGTTTACAAAAGTGTGATTATATGATATAAAAATTGGTTGAATGTGAGATTGCTAGTTTTGAATGAAAATTACTGAATTTTTAGTGATGCATTGTTAAGATATGTTTAATTATATAGAATTCATAATGCAAATGAAACATGATATTGATGAGCATATAACTTTTTAAGAGTTATAACTGAATGTTTGAAATGGAGAAGTACTTCAAGAGTTATAATCGGAGAATATCATATAAATTCAAAAGTAAATTTTATACAATAGCAACTAAGTTTGAATCCGAGTATTAGGAAATAAATAAGTTGCAAACTAAGTTGTGTAGCATAAATAAGAATATTAAAAAAAATGCAATAAAACTAGGAAGTAAATTGAAAGGAATTAGCATATAAATTAAAGACATCGTGTGAAAAAAAAAACTGTTAATAAAAACAAGTCGAAAATAGATATAGGTGATTTAGATCGTGCCAAAAGACTATTGATCAAAAGAAAATAAAAAATAGATTTATGTGATTTGAGTATGTGAAATGAGGGATAGAATATGAATCAATAAAATGAGTTAATAGGATTAATGCAAAAAGATTAGAAGGATAATGAATAGACTAAAGATAACAAACTTGAAATTGTCCAGAAAGATTTGTGAAAAATAGAGTCAATAACTACAGAAGCAATCAACAAAAATAAATTGAGAACAAGGATCTGTAAAGCCAACACAAAATAATTGGGACAAAGCTTGCGATGATTCATATGAAAGTTGGGATGATAAAAATGAACCCTACGGTTAACATGTTTAGGAAATTTAATTTAATTTGATTTGGCAGAAAACAGCTTAGCTCTAGCAGTTCGAATAATTTAAAACAAAATGACAATAGTGTTCAATATGGACCCGTCGTAATCATCATTAGCTATAGTACAACTATTTGGGGCCGGTTTTATAATATGCACCAGTTTATTATATATTTTTCAGAATTTTAACTAGAAATGAATTGCACAATGATAAATATTGCAATATATTGCAATTTCTCAGTAACTTGGGAAAATCACACAGAAGATATCATGGGGATTTACTCAAGATGATCCTGCCGAATATAGACAAAGCAATACTTGGCATGAAAGAGATTACTTAGACGCCTAAGCTTAAGGGCTGATACCAGAAAACATTCAGAATAAAAAATAGTACAGTTTAACAGAAACTATGTACATGGGTGATAAAAGAAAATTTTACTTTGAATATACAATTTTTTAGTATATTTTAAAAAAAAGTATAAGAGTCAAACCTGAAATTGAGTGTCCAAATAAACATGGCATACCCGCAGAACATCTTCTGTATGTTTAGTATCCATCTCATACACGATCTTTTCAGCACAATTCCGAAGTGGATCAGGCTCAGCATTCAAATAGTCTAAGGAGGTTATCCACACTGTGTCCTGCAAAGAACAAATGTGAACCATTTTGAGGGCTTAGGTTAGTCTAATTACATTGCACGCAAAAATAAATGGCCACTAATATGTAATTCCTAAACTATTAAGTATGGAGGAGTTTAAATAAGTTAAACGATGCATAGTTTAATGACATAGATTTAAGCTTCATAGTTCATACACACAATCCGCAAATCCAATACAAGTTCTTTAAGGATAGCAAATATATTCAGAGGAACTCCAGAACTTATTCAAGTTTCTTGCATAAGATAATGTGGGCTCCGAAAATTCGGCCCCGGCCTTCCCGCCGCGCGATTTCTTTTTTTTTTTTTATTCGGCGAGGGGAGTTTTAACGGAATAAGTTCCGGGGTAAATTTTGGAAGGCAGATGGGTTTGTAGATAAGACACTACCCAAAGATTTCACCCTCATTTTGCGAGGACTTTATGATCTGAGTTCTGGTTTCCTATAGGCG